TGAAGGGGGCTTTTTTTGTTTTCTGGGGGTTTTTTTTCCGCCCTTTTTTTACATTTGCAAAATTTTTTTTTTTTTTTTTTTTTTTTTTAAATTATTTTGGATGTTAATCATGGGGCTTGAGTTTATTGTTTATTTTCTTCATTTATGATTGAAAAAAAAATTTTGAGATGTTATATGAATACTAAGGCTCATGCTTCAGACATGGAGTCTTCTCATGCCCCTCCTCTACCACCTCATGGGTCTAATGCTACCTAGAGGGGGTAACTGATTTTCTTATAGAACCAATGTAATCTAACAAAGAAATTGGTTATATTAAATATTCATTTTACTTATAGATAGGTGTATGTAATCTAACAAAGAAATTGGTTTTATTAATTATTCATTTTACTTATAGATAGGTGTAATGTGAAATTAAAAGCAACCATAAACATTTTGTTGTTTTAAAATTAGATAGTTTCATCCCTTCTTTCTCTTTCAAATGCTGTACATACTTTGAAAAACAGGTAATTTAATTATATCTTTACAAAAATTATTTACCTATTTTTAAAATATTAAAGGCTCAAAGATTTCCAAAGCAATAATAATATCTTTTTGGTTAGGTTTTGTTTACTTGTATAAATAATTACTATTAACATATAATATCAGATGAAGTTAAAGTTTTAAATTCTTGGGTGTTTCTTGTTATATAAGATATAGCTAAAACTACGCTGTAAACAAACAAAAAAAAAAAAATATGTAAATTTCCAATTGTCTTAGTTCCCTGTAGATTTCAAAGTTTATGACAGTAAAAAAATTTACTATTTTTAAAGAACATTTTTTTTCTTGTTATAAAATTCCAAAGCAATAATTATTTCCCACACTTTTTATACTAAAGTTTTTGCTTTAACTCTAAAAGTAGATTTTAATAGTGTAAGGTTTTCATTAAATTGTTTTGAAAAAATGAACTTTCAATTACTACGAACTATGCAAGTTTTCCTTATTTAGTCATCATTTTTAGTATAATTTTATTATCTATATCTTAGTAGTTTATTTAACATGTACATTAAGACTATAAATGAGTCCAGTACTCATAATGTTTTAGCATTCTTTTAATGTTATTCCTATATTTTATTGTTAGATGTATGCCATTGGGATTATTTCAAACAGATGTGATAAACTAGTAGGTGAAGTAAAAGTACACATGGAGCTGTTCTTTATTTAAATTTGATCAATTTTGTTTAAGTAGGTGGTCACGTGTTTTGCTAAACATTCATTTTTGTTGCTGTTTTTGTGTGTTATAGTTATTTTATATTTATTTTTAGGACTACCATGTTATTTTAATATACACACCACCAGATCAAGGGGAAGCCTTGGTGTATGACTTAGACAGCATGTTATCTTTTCCTGTAGACTTTAGTACATACGGTAGTCAGACGTTACGGTCTGACTTTCTATTAAAACCAGAATATCACAGGTGAGTCACTTACAGATTATGGTCTTGCACCTTCAAACTGAACATTGCCTTTTTTTTTCTTTTGTGTCTACTACTTTTATATCATTCATTAATTTTTTAGGTATTTGATATGGTTCATAATTAAGAGAAGCAAAATTGATGTTGTTAATAATATGAAAAATAACCAGTCAGTTAGATGATAATGTTAAATCTTTAAATTTTTTTTAAATACTATCCTCTAATGTTATTACTTTTAAACTTTTGGTTCAAACAATTTTTTGTAATAAACTGATACTCTTGCTTTATACTGTATTATTCTATACAAAGCATGAATAAGGTTTATTTTTGCTTGTTTGTTTATGTTGTACAATCTGAGGTTCCCATTCTTTGTCTGGGTTATGAACTTAAAAAATGTGGGATTGAATGTTATGATAAATAACACAAAAAATCCTAACTTTCACACAATTTATTTATAACATATTATGACAGTATTCATTATTACCTCACCAAAAGTTTTGTACAAGTTTTAAGAACTCCATATATGTATATACTTAAAACATGGTATGCACTGTGCGATGGTCAGGGTGACTTTATATGAAGAGGTAGCGGCCAAAGTAGTAGCTGTAGGGGTGCTTTCTGTTACCTGCTTTCAATACCCAACTCTTATTGTCCTTCCACACTGTTTCACATTATTAATTAATTGATGGTTATTGCCCATTGAAGTGTCTTACGGAATAAAGTTATTACGTACAGTTCAAAGTAGCTAGTGGGTATGACTCAAGAAACGGCTCTTCATATCAGATTCTTTCACCTTTATAATTTTGTGATACAAGTTTCAACATAATTTCTGTATTGAACAATTTCTTCTGTTAGTTATTAAACAAGAAATATTAATGAAGTTAAGCTTTTTATGAGAAGAATGTTAAATTTAAGCATTGTCAGTTACCATTATTCATATCATATACTCTACCCCAACAATAATAAGAGAATTGTTAGTGAGTTATGGAAAAGAGGGAAGATCTGAAAGTCACAAAAAATTCCTGCACTTTTTAAGAATGGTACTTTCCCAAATTTTTAAAAAATGAACCGTAAAATGTGCTATTGACATCTTACAGTGCTTTTTCTTTAAAGCTGTATACTTAGGAAGAACTTGGTTTTTGATAAGTCCTTTTTAATTAAGTTGTCAAATGTATTCTGTCACTTTTCTGTTTCTCTTCAGAATGAATGACTTGTTTTGCTCTTGTGTTCAAAATGTACGTATTTATATATTTTGCTATTTGCTTTTAAAAGTTCAGTAGAATTCTACAGTTATGTTATAAATAAAATTTAATTGACACTGAAAAAAATATAGTATAAAATAGAAATTAAGCGTTCATAAGGAGGGTCATTCTTTATTTGAGAATTATATTTGACAAAACACAGAAGAACATTCCACTTTTTAATAGATTAATATATTTTTTCAGTGACTCTCCATATTTCAATGTAAAAAATATAAAATCTTTTCCTTCTTAAGATTGGATGTGAAGCAATTTGTCATGCCTTTAGTTCCTAATTTTAATTTATGGATTTTCTCATGTATTCAGTCAATAAAAGTTTCCATATTTTTATGTCACCAAAGGGTTAAGTATTCTTTTTTTTTTTTAATTGCCCCATTGTACAGAAAATTTCGTGTCATTCCTGGGGAGGTCTTTCTAAAGAAGTTTGCTTCAGACCGTTCTCGGATGAAAAATTCGGATGGTGCTTGGATAAAATCTCCTCCTCCCTTCCCCTGCATCCAGACATCAGGTATTCAAACTCTTTAACTTTGTTATGCTAAAACTTTAAAATAGCTTAGAAAATACTGTCTCTTCATAATGCTTCTGTTCTTTAGACCTTCATAACATTTCTATTTTTCAGTGTTTCTATAGTATGTATGTTCTATTTTTATTAATATCAGTTTTCCAATAATGTGCATACTTGCATATCATATACTCAGTGCTCAATGTACATTAATTTAATATTTCCTCATTTCGTGAAACACTTTGTATATCTGCCCCTTGGTGACTCAATGTGAAGTCTGCAGGCTTGCATCTCTTAAAACTAGGTTTTGATACTAGTGATGGGTAAAGCACAGATATCCCATGTGCTTAACTACAACCAAACTAACCATAGTTTTTTTTGTTTTTTTATTATTATTATTATATAGGACATAAAAGTTTAATATCAGCTCTGCATGTTTATAGCTTCTCTACACATCTTACGTTATTAGCATCAGTGGGAAATCACCTAAAGTTTCAACATCCCAGATATAATAATAGTTTAATTAATGATGACAAGAAACCCACTTAAAATAAAAAATGTATAGCAGAGACGGCTGGTATGGGTATTAAAAACTTTAGTTAAAATAAGTACAAGAACAAAATTTTGGCCTTCTTAGGTCATCTTCAGGTGAACAAAGACAGTTTGAAACTGACCATTACTGGGCACATGTCCTAGGGACGAGAG